CCTCAAAACCTGGAACTAAATAATATACTTCTCAATAATCCAGGTAACAAAAAGAACGTCTAAAACTACAAAACACACACGCATGCACACACACAAAGAAACCAATGAAAATGTAAATAATACATATCAAAATTTGTGTAATTAAATTATACTACAGGACTATAGTAACAGAAACAGCATGGTATTGGCATCAAAATAATAAACGATGCAGGGAAAACTGTAAATCCACAAGTTACAAAATGAAATTAGACCCACCTCTTTCATCCTGCACAAATCACAACTCTAGGCATTAGACCAGATACTATGTGCCTACTAGAAGAAAAAGTTGAAATCTCCATCATGTCAGTTTAGTAACTAAATTCTTCAAAAAGACTACTAAAGTGGAAGAAGTAAAATCAGGAATCAATACATGAGATGGTATAAAACTAAAAAACTTCTTCACAGCAAAGGAAATAATCAAGAACATGAACAGAGAGCATAGAGAATGGGGGTAAATCTTTGCCACCTGCACCTCAGAGCATTAATCTCCAGAATATATAAAGTACTCAAAGAACTTAACACCAAGAAAACAAATAACCCAAGCAATAAATGGGCAAAAGAACTGAACAGAAACATCACAGAAGAAGAAATATAGTCAACAAATATATTTTAAAAATGTTCAACATCATTAGCAATTCGAGAAATGCCAAGTAAAATGATGCTGAGATTCCACCTCATTCCAGTCAGAATGGCAATCATTGAAAATACAAGTAACAATAAATGTTGACAAGGATGTGGGAAAATAGTGTACTTATACATTGCTGGTGGTATTGCAAATTGGTGCAACCATTCTGGAAAACAGTGTACAGACTCCTCAGAAAACATGGAATGGAACCACCATTTGATCCAGTTATCCTATGCTTCGGCATATACCCAAAGGTCTTAAAATAAGTATACTATACTGACAGGGCCACATCAACGTTTACAGTAGCTCAATTCACAACAGCTAATCTATGGAACCAAGCTAGGTACCCTTCAACAGATGAATGTATAAAGAGAATGTGATACATACGCACAATGAAATATTACTCATCCATGAAGAAGAATGAAATTATGGCATTTGCAAGCAAATGGAAGAAAGTGAAGACTATCATGCCAAGTAAAATAAGCCAATCCTAAAAACACAAAGACCAATATTCTCTCTGATATGTGGATGGTGACATACAATAGAGCAAGGGGAGGGAGGAGTGGAGGTTCAATGGATTGGACCGGGAGGAGTAGGAAAAATGGAGGGGGCATGGGAATGGGAAAGAGAGTAGAATGAATTGGACATAACTTTCCTATGTTCATACATGAATATATAAGCAATGTAACTCCACAATTATGTATAACCACAAAAATGAAAAGTTATGCTCCATGTAATTATGATATGTCAGAATAAATTCTACTGTCATATATAACTAAAATGAACAAATACAAAAAATAAAATACAAAAAAAAAGAAAAAACATACTTGGGTAAAAAATAATAGTAGTGTTGGAAAAAATTTATAGGAACAAATATATTTTTTGAAAGCAGGATTATTCTTAAATCAATAATACAAGAGTAAGAACCTAGAAAACGAAGAGCAAAATAAAACCAAATCAAGCAGAACAACAACAAAGAGGCAAAAATCAAAGAAACTGAAAACATAAAACAATAGACAAAAGTCAATAAAACAAAGAGCTCTGAGAAAAAAATCAATAACATTGACAAATCCCTTAGAAGACTAACAAAGAAAAAAGAAAAGACCAATATCATTAATGAAACAGGAGATTTATCACTACCAACTATAGAAATCAAAGAAATAAAAAGGGAATGCTATAAGTAATTGTATAAACATAAATTTATTAACCTAAATAAAATGGACAAATTTCTGAGAAAAAAACAACAAACTACCAATACTTACCCTATACCAAACAGATAATCTAAATAATCCTACAACTATTAAAATAACTAAATGTATATTTTAAATCCCTCCCCCACAAAAGAAACTTCAGAAACAGATGGTTTCACTAAAAATCCTAGCAAACATTTTAAGAAAAATTCACAATAATTCCAATTCCTTTCTTCTAGAAAATAAGGAGTGAATACATCTAAATTGATTTTACAAAGCTATTATTATCTTTATGCAGATATCAAACAAGTACAGAACAAAAACCCAAAAACTCTCATGAAATATTTCTCACATGAATATAGACCCAAAAGAGCCTTAACAAAATATTTGTCAAAGAATTCAGCAATATATAAGAAAAACTATACACCATGACCAAAGGGTGTTTATTCCAGTTATAAGACCAAAGCATTCCAAAAATTCATTTAAAAGACAAGTAATAAATGAAGAGAAATTATTTTAAGCACATCATAGATTGAGGGTTAATATCCTTAACATTTAAAAATTTAAAAATTTTAAAGGGAGAAAAATAACTAAAAACATTACCTAAGTATATTCAAATAGCACTTAAGTATATAAAATGACATTTTATCTTCACTCACAAAATAAAAACAGAAATTTAATAAAACTAAACTGAGATACCATTATTTACCTATAAAATTGGCAAAAATTTGAATGCTTGGCAAAGTTACTCTCTTTCCTTTTGTGTGAAGCTGTGTACAAACAGGCAATCTCATGCATTACTTTTAAGAGTACAAAATGGTGTACCTTCTAATTTTACCATTAATTTTAAAAGTACAAATGATTATATCTGACCCAATTGGACTGCTGGGAATCTACCCAAATATTTCTAACAATATAGAAACATCCACATAAGATTACACACTTATATTTGCAAATCAAAACACTGGGGATAGAAAACAATAATTATACCTATCTCTACAATGTGGACTTTTATGAAATTGTACAATATATGGAAAATCTCCACAAATTTCATTTGGAATTATTTCTGGGATTAAAAGTAGGTGGTAAAATGGAAGGTGGAAAAGGTTATTGACACTGTTTTCAAATAGATAAGAAGCCAGAAATTTACAAATATTGCCATATTTCTGCAAAAAGACACAGAAAGGATAAACCAAAAACTGAAGGTAGCTCCCTACAGAGAAGGAACAAAAACATAAGTTGGAATGGAAAAGGAAAATTTGAAATGTTTCTGAGAGTATTTTCTACTGTAGTTTCAATATTTGAACAATGTAACATAAAAAAATGTTAAGATGAAAAGGAAAAAAAGTGGAATAAAAACAGACTCAGCTGGTTCAAAATTTTATTCTAATGATACAAAAGAAAGAAAGATAAATGATCTAAATGATTCTTGAGCACATTATTTCAACTGTGCACCTTTAGTGTCATATACTTTAAGTGCAAAGAACTCCTGAATTTCACCTGTGAAATTTATTACACGTACAATAACAATAAAATTATTTTGTATGTTTAGTAGATTTAAACAAATGAGTAACAACACTGTGCTACTGGGAGTCAGGCTTTTATCAGTGAAAAAAGAAGATACAAATATTAGAAAGGGGGAAAAAAGAAGAGGAAGAGGAAGAAGGAAGAGGAGGAAGAAGAGGAGGAGGAAGAAAAAGAGGAAGAGGAAGAAGGAAGAGGAGGAAGAAGAGGAGGAGGAAGAAAAAGAGGAAGAGGAGGAGGAGGAGGAGGAGGAGGAGGAGGAGGAGGAGGAGGAGGAGGAGGAGGAGATAAGTCCTGTGATGTTGGATTGTAATTTTTTTCTCATTAACCTTTTGTTTTAATGGGTCTCAAAATTATGTGACAGATTTTGGGTCAAGTTGATCCCATTAAAAAGTACTGACTTTAACTGGAAGGAGACAGGGATGCCCTCTTTCTCCACTTCTATTTAACATAGTTCTTGAAACACTGGCCAGAGCAATTAGACAGACAAAAGAAATCAAAGGGATATGGATAGGAAAAAAAGAACTCAAATTAGCACTTTTTGCCAATGATATGATTCTGTATCTAGAAGACACAAAAAAATACACCAGAAAACTTCTAGAACTAGTAAATGAATTCAGCAAAGTAGAAGGAAATAAAATCAACATCCATAAATCAAAGGCATTTCTGTATATCAGTGACAAATCCTCTGAAAGGGAAATTCGGAAAATGACCTCATTTACAATAGCCTCAAAAAAAAAAGAAAAAAACTTGGGAATCAACGAAAGAAGTTAAAGACCTCTACAATAAAAACTACAAACGCTAAAGAAAGAAATAAAAGAAGACCTTAGAAGATGGAAAGATATCCCTTGTTCTTGGACAGGCAGAATTAATATTGTTAAAATGACCATACTAAATGATCAAAAGCACTACACAGATTAATGCAATTCCAATCAAAATCCCAATGACATTCCATAGAAATAGAAAAAGCAGTCTTAAAAAGAGCATACTACAGGGGCACAGCCACATTAATGTTTATAGCAGCATAATTCACAATAGCTAAATTTTGGAACCAATCCAGATGCCCTTCAGTAGTTGAATGGATAGGGAAACTTTGGAATATATACACAATGGAATATTATTCAGCATTAAGAGAGAATAAAATCATGGCAATTGCAGGTAAATGACGAATGTTTTCTCTGATTTAAGGATGCTGATTCATAATGAGGTTTGGAAGGAGGGCATAGGAGTATTAGATGAACTCTCGATAGGGCAAAGGGGAGGGAGAAGAAGAAAAGGGGCATGGGGGTAGGAAAGACGGTGGAAAGAGAAGACATCATTACCCTAAATACATGTATGAAGACATAAATGGTGTGACTCTACTTGGTGTACAATCAGAGATATGAAAAATTGTGCTGTATATGTGTAATATGAATTGTAATGCGTTCTGCTGTCATATATAACAAAAAATTTTTAAAGTACTGATTTTTAAAACTAATAACTTAAAAGTACTATACACACTAAACAAATGGTCCACAAACATTTTCCTTTCCTTCTGAAGATTTACAATGCATTGTTATCATTAACCAGTATTTTACTAATAAACTTAAATAACCAATTGAGACAAAACAAAACAAAACAAAAAAACCATGGAATGCTTCACGAATTTGTGTGTCATCCTTGCGCAGGGGTCACGCTAATTTTCTCTATCATTCCAATTTTAGTGTATATGCAGCAGAAGCAAGCACTTGGATTGTAACCAGGATGAAATAGTGATTTTTATATTCTTTTAATTATTAGTTTGCTAGCTGTGTCTACTATAAAAGATAAGGATCCATGATACCCAGTAGCAATGAGAATATTTAGGACCCTGGAGAAATATATGATTCCAGGGATGGAGCAGAAACAAAAACATGAAGTGAAGTGGGAATATTATCTTGTAATAAAAAGAAAAGTGTTTAAGCATTGATAGAGAAGATATTAAAAAATAAGAGCCATCTCAAAAAGGATCTGCGGATCAATGGGAACAATTTAAATATCAGAATAAAAAATGGCAGGAATAGGTTATAAAATACATAATTTTTCAAAATAGGATTCATGACTAAACACTGCTATTAATATTTTTAAAAGTCAGGAGAAACAAAAATCTCTCCCTAATAGAAGAATGCCAATAACTATAGAAACAATGATAAAATTAACAAATTTTCATTTTGTAAACTCCAGAGTAATAACTAATATAGGAAATAGTTTTCAGTGGATGTTAAAACACTGGGTGAATGGTTGTAAGAGAAGCATTCTAAAGGACATTAATCCAGAAAACATTTTGAGTTACAATGGGAAAAAAAAAGATAACTTTATGTTTGAGGAATCAGGTATATACAATCTTAAAGAAGTAAACATTTAAAATCATCAACTGATATGAAATAGTGATAACATATGGTACTATTCCTTTCAAAATTGCTTAACCTGTATCTGACATAAGAAGATAAATATCAAATCCAAAGTGTGACATTCATCATAACAAATGATCAAGATTCCTCAAAAATGCCAATGTATGAAAAGATTTAAAAAGAGAAAAAAATGAATAACGTTCTATATTACAAAAGATTAAAGTGTCATGACAATCAAAAGCAATTTATTATCTCTAATTGACTTCTTGATTACAGATGATGATGATGATGATGATATGACAATGACAATAATGAGTCATATATCTACACAAAACAAAAAATTTATTGTTAGTTGTGGGGTAGGCTACAATTTCTTAAACTGGAAGTCAAAACTATAGTAATTGAAAAAATTGGTAAATTAAGAATTCATCAAGGGGCTGGGGATGTGGCTCAAGCAGTAACGCACTCGCCTGGCAGGCGCGCGGCACTGGGTTCGATCCTCAGCACCACATAAAATAAAATAATGATGTTGTGTCCACCGAAAACTGAAAAATAAATATTAAAAAAATTCTCTCTCTCCTCTCTCTCACTTTAAAAAAATTAAACAAAATAAGATTTATTTATCAAAAACATTCCATTAAGAAAATGAATAGGTAAGTGACAAATTGAGAGAAAATATTCACAAATCACATATCTGACAAGGAGCTGGCATTCAAAAAGGACTCCTAAAAATCAATAACAAACCAAAAAAGGGAAAGAAAAAAAAAAGCCCAAATAACTCAACAAAAAATAGCAAAATACATGAATAGACACCTCACAAAAGAATCTTCATAAACAACCAGTAAGCTCATGAGGATGGTGGATGGAGTTAGAGTGTTGTCAACATCATTAGTCATAAAGGAAATTCAAAGTAAAACTATAATGCAATATTACTACAAATTCAACAAAACAACTAAAATTAAGAAGACTGATAAATCTAAATGTTACACAGGTTGTGGGGCAATTAGAATTCTCAAGCATTATTGGTGGGAGCAGAAAACAGTAAAACCACTTTTGTAAAAGATTACTATAAAACCTTGTTATACAAAACCACTTATTTATTATAGAAAAACATTATTATAAAACCACTTTCCTTATGACCCAATAGTTTCAATCCTAAGTATTTATTTAAAAAAAGAAAAAAGAAAAAAACCCAAAACATACATAAAGCACTTGTATAATAATGCTTACTGTAGTTTTATTCATGCTTAAGTCTTCAAAGTCCAAACACATGGCACTGGCATCTGGTGAGGGCCTCATTCTTCATCATAACATGGTAGAAAAGCAAGAAAATGTACAGTACAGAGAGAAAATGTCAGGCTAGAGCTTAGCCTTTTTATTCGGAGCCCATTCCTAAGATGACTAATTCATTACAGCAATAAAAGCTGAACCTTATCACCTTTAAATACAGACACAATGGTAACTAAATTTGAATATGACTTTTGAAGGGGACATTCAAACCACAGCATTCACATAATGGAAATAGTATTTTAAAAGAGGAAGTAATGATACACGCAACATGAATGGATTACAAAAAATATTAATCTGAGAAAAATCACACCCAAAAAGCACATACTAAGAGTCTATTTACATGAAATGCTAGAACAGATAAAACAAATCAAAGGTGAAAAATGATAACAATGGCTGCTTCTGGAGATGAGGGCAGGAACTGACTTGTTTTTACTGGGCTTTTTTTTTTTTTTTTTTGAGTTCCGTATATTTTCTGCCTATCAAACTTCTATCAGATGAATAGCTAGCTGGAAAATATTTTCTCCCACTCTGCCTTTTCATTCTGTTAATTACTTCCTTTGCTGTGAAGGTTTCTGATCTTATCCCACTTGTCAATTTTGTTTCCTATTCTTTTGGGGTCTTCTCCAGAAATTCAGTGACTAAAGAAATGTCTTAAAGTGTTTCTGCTGTTTTCCTCTAGTACTTTTAAATCTTACATGTACACATTTCAGGTAAGAGAAAGGGGCCTTCTGAATGTGGATATTCAGTTTTCCCTGTACCATTTATTGAAGACTTTATGGAGAATTAAGCATAGCCGGTGAGTAATGATAAAATAATTCTAAGAATAATAAAATAGAAGTGTTTCAAGAGAGGAGAAAAATAAGACCACTATGATACAAAAATATATCCAGAATTTATAGAAGAGGCCAATAACTGTACATGATAATCACAAATCTAAAGAATGATTTTATATTAATAAAAACAATGGAATTTTCTCTTGGCTCTGTAGAAGGCCTCTTTAAAAAATAGTACTTATTATAAAATATCAATCCTTACATAATCTTAGAAATGCTCAAAAAAGAAACTTAAAACTGAAAAAGTCGGGGCTGGGAATGTCGATCAAGTGGTAATGCACTCGCCTGGCATGCACGGGGCACTGGGTTGGATCCTCAGCACCACATAAAAAAAAAATAAAGATGTTGTGTCCACCGAAAACTGAAAAATAAATATGAAAAAATTCTCTCTCTCTCTCTTCTCTCTCTCTTTAAACAAACAAACAAACAAACTGAAAAAGTCTAGTGGACCTGGTAGTATATTGTGGGGTAAAGGCCACTAACTTTCTATTGTTTTTTCAGAGAAGCATACACAAAATTAATCCAAAACTTCAGTGTTCCCACTGTATTTTATACATGCCTGATTATTATAATCATTAATATATTGTACATATTCATGCTTGATTCTCTAGCTTACTGTATTTATAGAACTTAGGAAAATGCCTCAAACATGATAATCCTTTTAAGTATTTGTTGATAGTAACTGTTTTAAAACTGTTAGATAAACCAATCAAACTTCCTGAACCTCAAAAGAATGATAGGAAAATTTCTAGTAAGGGTTGGATTTAACATAGTAAGAACAATTTATCTATAGTCTAGCTCATTGCTTATCTATATGTTACTATTTGTTATTACCCTGAAGTTATGTTTTCTGTTTTATCTTATTTTCTGAAGAAAAAGAATTAGCTCTCCAAATTTATTAATGTTTCATTGTTAAAGGAGAAAGATATGACAAAGGGGAAAGATATGCCAATGTAGAAAGATTAACTTACAATTTAAAATTCAAGGTTATATATTAGCAAGCAGTTTGTAATTAATCCTAAGAACAATAGGGTATCATCCAAAATTTTTAAGCATGTAGAGGCTATTAATTGCAAATCAGATAATACTCTCCTTCTAGAGATTGAAATCTTAATGTAAATATTCAATGAAGTGAAGAATCAAGTGATAAAGAATCAATATTATCCAATATTACTATCTACTTCTTCGAAAAACATGCCTATCAAAGGCAGCATCAAAGTTATTGAGGTAAATACTTTCAAATATAGTTAGATCTGACAAAAAAAATCCAAGTATTCATTCAGAAGACTCCTATATACTATTTTTCCTTCTTTTCTTTTGCTTTGTTTCCCCCACCCTCCCCATATAGGGATTGAAACTGGATGTGTTTTACACTGAGCTACATTCCCAGCCCTATTTCAACTCTAAGATAGAGTCTGCTAAGTTTTAAGGTTGGCCTTAAACATGTAATCCTACTGACTCAGTCACTCAACTTGCTGGGATTATAGGTATTCAACATCGTGCCCAGGGTATATGCTATTTTAAAGTACTGTTTTAAAAGCTGGTTTGGCAAGAATTTTAATTAGACAATGATATATAAATAACAGAAAATTCTGATTATTTACTCTTTTGATTATATTAGATTGCCATGCTAAGACCAGTAATCTTTTTTAGAGCCTTATTATATATTCTGTGAAACAGCCTGCTTATTAATTCTTTTTTGGAAAATGGATACTGATAGCATATTGGTTTCTACAGGAAGCTATAAAACAATTTTGTATATGTGATTTGTGGCACTCTAATATCACATGAGCACTTGTGAAATTCAATACACAGCTTTTAAATAAAGATGTACTGATATAAATAGAGTAATTTTTAAAACTCTTAGCAGGAGTTAAATTGATGTCTGTAAAATGTCACTATAGTTAAACGTAATTTTTATTTTTATGATTTTATTTTTCATCTTCAAGACACTGACAAATTTTTAAAAATCTACTGAATATACATCAGATTTTTTTAAAAATATATTAATTCTACTGGGATATATGACATAGCCACATTGGAAAAATCTGCCCTATATTTTTTGTATTCTTTTAGGGATACCTACAGTACATAACAGAATTGGCAAATAAAATGGGAAATGCAAAAAAAAAGATCCATTGGTTTTTAATATAAAATTATTCTATAAGCTTCCTGGTAGCTTAAAAAAATAATAAAAAAGGAGGCAGATAAGTAGCCATATGACCATATGATATA